GTTTCCAAGGAAACCCTCCTGCCGGAGAAGTGCATCGCTCCAGCCCTCGCCACACTGGGAGAGGGCTCACACCACCCAGCACCCGCGGCACAGCACCCATCGGGCTCGCCTGGGCCCAGCGGGTGCTGCATTAGTGCAGCCTCTGCCATGTAAACAGCATTCAGGGAAATGGGGAAAGGCAGCGGCATCCCGTCCTTAACACATCCTCCAGCTATACAACACCCCTAACGCCGAGCCAAGCACCCCGCTCAGACTATGGGTGAGGACCCATAGCAGGGCAGGGTGCAGAAGAGCAGTTCCAGCACCGTAGCAGCGAAGGAGACAATTTATAGAGTATTTCCCTGCCCACAGCATCCTGTAATGTCCAGAAATTCCCTACATCCCTGTACCCATCGCCCCTACAGCTGCCTTTGCACGAGGCTGGCGGTGCTCTGAGCTCTCCCTCCCGGTGCACGCAGCAATCGACACCAAAGGGCAATACAAGTCGCCTTTAAATCCTGTTTGTCTGTTTGTACTCGCAGGTTTGCAGCCTACCCAGAGATCACATGTTAAAGCATTTCAAAAGGGAAAAAAAAAAAAGGCCCTGCCTTCCATCAGGCTGCGACGGGAGCCTCCATGTGCGCTCACCAAGATATGCATATTTTAAAAGCTTGGCAGGAAGAGGGCTCCAAACTACACAATTAAACAGATTTCACACAGAATGCTCTCCATACACACCAACCGCTGCAGGAGACCCTTTCCCTGCCCTGCCAGGAGAGACCCCTTCGCAGCCGATGAGCTCCGGGTGGCTCCTTCCCTTCCGCTGGGGAAGCCACTGTGTCCGCCCTTTGCCTCCACTTAACTGCCCATAAACTGGAGATTAAAATTAAAAAAAAACAAAACCACAACATCTTTTGTCAAGTGGTGGAGCAGGAACAATTGCCTGGGAAGAAATTTAACCCTCTTGGAGGAAAAAGATATCTCCAGCCCTTGTTTGTGTCCATGCGTGGGGTGGGATGGATAATGCTCTGCTCCTCTGGCCTCCCCAAGCACCTGAAGGGCATCCTTTGTGCTGGAGAACAACAGAACCTTTTTAGAAGAGGCCTGAAAACACACACAAAAAGGGCAAATAAGCAGGAGAAAAAGGTGAGGGTGTCAAAGTACCAAGCGGAGGGGCCGGGGTCAGGGTTGCTGCGTGTCCCCTGCAGCTCTTTGTACCAAGGATGTGTTTCGAGGTGGCATCCAGGGCTGAAACGGGGCAAGGGAACAGGTCCTAAAATACAAGTGAGGAAGAGAAAGGAGCCTAGGAAAGGAGGTAGGAGGCTGTACAAGGTGCTGTATCACCTAGTAGCCCTACAAACCCAGTACATAAAGCATCCCGGGGGGAGGCAGCTACGGCTCCCATCCTTGCTCCCATCCCTCGGTGCCAGCAGTAAGTGTCACTTAGTCTGGCAGGTGACAGGTACAAAGGACAGGGGAGGAGGAGGACATTTCGGAGAGCATCCCTGCCACACCGCACATGCAGACGACAAGCTAGGGAGTCCGCACCAGCAACTGCCTAGGGACACAGCCTTTCCCCCGCTTGCTTTCTGTGCGATCTGAAATGTCAGCCAGCAGCTTTCAGGAATGCACTTTCCTCTGTTTAATGAAATAAGCTGAGTCTAGGCAAGCCCTTCGCCTTGCCTTGGGAAGGCTTTGCAGCAGGCTGCCAGACAGCAGGCAGGCAGCTCCGCTAATCTCCTAACGCTGCCTCCTCTAAGCACATTAGGAGTCCAACAGGCTGCAAAGGCTGAGGCTCATCTTTAACTCCCGCGTGACTGTTAAAACAGTCCTGGGCCCTAATCGGAAGCACGCTGCAAGAGAGCAAAGTCAGTTCAATAAGCGGCTGGCTGAAAAGAGAGCAATCTTCCAGCCATCTCTCCCGTTCCTGGCAGGATGCACGCGGCGGCCAGTTGAAGAGAAGCCGTCAGACCGTGCAGCGACACGAACGCGTTTCTCTCGCTGAACGGTACCTAAGGAGACAGCGCAGAGGGAAGAGGCAGACAGAAACGGGGCAGAGCATTGAAAGGATATCCACGCTTTTCCACTTCCAATTTTTTGGGTGTATCTTAAAGACAGAGCAGCAGTGCTTTTATATTTTTCAGTGATACCATTCGGTACTGGAGCAAAACTGCCTTTTACCCCAGCGGATGAAGTGGTTTCCTTGCCACCTCTCCCATATAGAGTCTTTTACTCTCAATAAAATCCATTTGAAATTATTCTGCCCCTAGAAAATAAGACAGGGGGTGATCAGGAAAGCAAACTAACAACCTGCAAGGCTTATTTTAGATGGCAGCGAAACCGAAAATTGGACTGTGCCATTTCCAGGAGAACATGTGATTTCCATACGCCGTGCAGGTGCCACGGGCAGAACGCAGACACAAAACTCATCTGCAAACTCTCCCGAGTGGGACTGTTCCCCCTGCTTTTAAACTCAAATCCTCCTCTTGGGAATAGGCACGCGGAAAAGCTTTAATAACTATAAAAAGTGAGAGCTCGTAGGCAGAAATGACATTTCAGCCTGCCTGCAGCCTGGGGAAACGGCATGCTGGGGTGCTCCCAGTTATGCCGGACAAGGGATCCCAGTTATCCTGGAGAAGGGAATCCCAGGTTTGTTACCTCCCGCGATGCTCCAGGGCATCTCCCTAACACAGATCATTTGTTAGATCCTCCGCCGGTGAAAGCCACAGCCACACTAAAGCTGTCATATACCAGCAGCTAAGAAGCTGCTCTGATGTTTTCCCCGGTTGTATGGGGTTTATTAACTGGGGCTGAGGCAAGGCTAAGGGAGAGTGCGACAAACTGTCCCCATCCTTTTAAGTCTGGGTAAAATCCCAGCTAAACTCCAATTTCAGCGTGGCCGGCATCCCTCGGGACCAAACCCCCTTTCCACACACTTGGGAGAGGTGTGACTCGCACAGATTGGGGTCAAATCTCTCGTTGCTGTAAGAGGTATTGAACAGCAGCCCTGTGCAGTTCACTGCCTCGAAGGAATCAGATTTTATTTAATCCAAACCCCAGCAAAACAGAGCAGAGCCGGAGCCGAGGCGCTCGAGGGTGAGCAGCCAGGCCCTGCCTTCAGCCTGCTTCGATGGCAGGGGTCGGACAGAAGCATGAAATCGCTGCAAACAACCCTTTTAGCACAGAATTGGAGAAATCCAGCTGCAAAAAAAAAAAAGCAGTGGGGTTTTCCTCCTATGCATAGCACCAAAAAGCAAAGCGAAAAGCAAATATAAGCAGAGGAGCCATAGGATGTTATCGCACTTTACCTAACGTGCACAAAAGACCTGGAGAGCAGCAGGGTAAGCTGAAAAATAAAACGAAGTAGTGGAAAACACTAGGTTTGTCCCAAAAAAGCAACGTTACCTTATGATGCATTAAACTCTCCCCCGTGCAAAGCTCACCTGATCCCATCAGATGTCCCTTGGCCCCTGGTGCACAGGTAAAGATGAAGCCGGTGTGTTTTCCCCGGCGGGGTTTTGGTTACTTTTCAATCCTGCTCTTTATAGATGTGTCCCCCTTGTTTCAAAAAGCTGCCGGGGTTTTTCAGCCGAGCTTTCCCACTGGCTGCTCACTGCCATTTTGCACCGGGTTTGGGGAAACCACCGGGTTTTGTGCAACGCAGGGGGAGCGCGGGGTCGTTCTCGGCGGCGCGGGCGCTCGTGTTTGCAGGATGAGAGACTCCATCCCCAAATTTCACTCCCGAGGTGCGAGCTCCTCTCTGAGGGAGAGGTGGATTTGTGGTGTGCTTATTGCCTACGGGCGCTTTGTTCAGCACAGGGGAAGGGGCAGGGGGGGACGTGGCCCGGGAAGGGGGTGCCGGGATGGGGTCACGTAGCGGGGCAGAGCCACGGTGTCCTGCGGGATGATGATGGGGCTGGAACCATCTGGAAAGGTTTTTTTGCGGGAAGAGCGAGGACCAAGAGGGATGGGAGAAGGGATGCCATGACAACCTTTGGGGGTTTCCCAGGAAACCAGGGTCGCCATGGCAACTGCATCACTCCGGTGCGAATTAGTGACTTCCGCTGGAAGGCGTGTTCGCCACTTTAATCTTCTTGCGATAAGTGGCTGCATCTCTCCCAAACACATTGCAAAAAAAAGGAGGAAATATCCCTTTGTCTCCGGCTGGGTGGGTTTGAGGCTGCAGAGCCACGGCAAGGAGCCCGTCACGGATCCTGCATCCCCCGGTCCATGCCAGCATCGCGCCCCGCGCACCGTTGGCTCCTGAAACCATTCCATCCTGCCTTTCGTCTCCCTCCTCCCCGCTCGCAGACCCGCTGCACGGCCACAAATTTGACGTTAGATGAAATAATGCCATAGGGTTGCAGGGGAAGGGAATTAAGAATAAAAAACGAGGGCACTTTTTTTTTTTTTTTTTTTCCATTTAAATCAGCATTGATTGCACTCGGTCTCTGACCAGATTAGAATTTCATAAATGATCTAACGGGGGAGAGAAAAGGGACTCCGTGATGTGCCCATAATGGCACACCACATGTTTGAATATTAAGCGTCATTTAACAATGTGGTAACAGAGACTCTCTGCAAAATTAAATGGTTATTTCCTCCCAACCCCCTTTCAGTATGCTCTGCAACATGTTTTCCTCGTCTCCCCACCCAATCCGGGGTTGTTAATCCAACAAGTGAGCTTATGTGATGGAAGGGAAATCAGCTACACGCTGCCTTGAGGGAAGGGGGGGGGGGATTCAGGAGCAAAGCGAGAGGTCCCCAAAAACCAGAAAACAAAAGCAGCCCCGCAACACGTTGCAGAACAGACACCTGTTTCGACGGTGAGTGTGTTTTGTCTTCATCTTCCTTCTCTTTACCCTTTAGCGGTCCTCTTCTTCGGAGAATTTTAAATCCTTTTTTTCTTTTTTTCTTTTTTTTTTTTTGGATCTTTAGAAAGGAAGGATCTAAAAAAATAAACGTATAAAAACGAGGGCACACACAGACCGACGATGGTGCATGTTCCACACAATACTGAGTACACAGTCACTTTGCATTATTATTGTTATTATTGGTTTTTTTTACCGCATCCTCAGATTTTGTTGCCGTTTGTTTGGTTTTGTTTTTTTAAACATCCGTAAAGATCTTTTTGATGCTCACACAGTTGGGATTGTTTGTGGTTGTGCAGTTGCCTGTCTTAAAGGCAGCCTGTTTGAATGCACTGTGGTTGATTCCCCCTTCCTCGATCACCATGTACTCGGACTTGCTGAGGGTAGAATTGCTGCGAGCCTTCCTCATCTCCTCGCTGGACGAGAGGTGCTGGCAGCTCCCGACGTGCATGTATTGGGCTTGCTCCTCACCTTCCGTCTCCCGGTGGTAGAAATAGTTGAAATTGGAGACTATCACGGGCACGGGGAGAGCGATGGTTAGCACCCCTGCGATGGCACAGAGAGAGCCCACAATCTTGCCCCCAATGGTGATGGGGTGCATGTCCCCATAGCCCACTGTGGTCATGGTCACCACCGCCCACCAAAAGGCATCAGGGATGCTACTGAAACCTGAACTGGGGTCATCGGCTTCTGCGAAGTAGACGGCGCTGGAGAAAAGGATGACACCGATGAAGAGGAAGAAGATGAGCAAACCCAGCTCCCGCATGCTGGCCTTGAGGGTCTGCCCCAGGATCTGCAGCCCCTTGGAGTGCCGGGAAAGCTTGAAGATGCGGAAGACCCTGACCAGCCGGATAACTCTGAGGATGGCTAAGGACATGGCTTGCTGGCCATTGCCTTGCCTCTCAGCCAGCTCGGTGCCCAGCGTGATGAAATAGGGAATGATGGCCACAATGTCAATGATGTTCATTATGTTCTTGGAGAATGTGGCCTTGCTGGGGCAGGCAAAGAAGCGGACCAGCAGCTCGAAGGAGAACCAGATGATGCACAAAGTCTCCACCACAAAGAAAGGGTCGGTGAAGGACGACACCATGGAAGAGGCTGAGGACGAGGAGTTGGTGAAGACATCAGGTGGGAGAGGGCCACCACCCGTCCCAAAAGTCCCCCCAGTTCCCTCATAGTCGTGGTCATCCCTGAATTCAGGCAGGGTCTCCAGACAGAAGATGACAATAGAGATAAGGATGACCAGGACAGAGACTATGGCAATGCCTCGGGCCGGCCCAGAGCTCTCAGGGTACTCGAAGAGGAGCCACACTTGGCGTTGAAACTCCTTGTCAGGGAGTGGCCGCTGCTCCTCCCGAATGAAACCCTCATCCTCCCGAAACTTCTCCATGGCCTCCTCCCCTAGCTGGTAGAAGCGGATCTCCTCGGAGAATATATCGATGGGGACGTTGACGGGTCGCCGGATGCGCCCACCCGACTGGTAGTAGTAGAGGATGGCGTCGAAGCTGGGACGGTTACGGTCAAAAAAATACTCGTTGCGGAGGGGGTCGAAGTAGCGCATCCTCTTGCGTGGGTCCCCCAGCAGCGTCTCAGGGAACTGCGCCAGTGTCTTCAGCTGGGTCTCGAACCGCAACCCCGAGATGTTGATCACCACCCGCTCGCAGCACTCGTGCTCCCCACCGCCCGCGGGCTGGCTGGCGGGGGGGGCCGCGGGGGGGGGGGGGGGGGGGGGGGGGAC